GTATGGATTGTCGAGAATAAGTGACATATCGTTGGGATTCAAGTCTTTCACTCGAATCACAGATTTGTCCCAAAGTTGTGGCCAAACGTCATGTGGTTTACTATAAAAATTTATTTTATGATAATTAATAAATACTGTATAAATATTATAAATAAAAACAAATAATTTAAATTAGAAATTAATCCAAGCATTAAAAATAATTCATTAAATGTACCCATTTTTAGCAAAATCAGTCCATATTTTCATCACATCTATACTAAAGTCATATTCAGTTTCGCTAAACTGTTGCGGATTTCTTAAAGGATTGCCGTAAACAAAAGCAATGTCCGCGCCGTGACATACGGCGTCTCCGGTATCGCCAAACATACTGCCATACCATTTACTTTGGAAATTAAAACGATAAAAATACACATTTTGTCTGCTTTCAGCCACATGTTTAGCAAACAGATATGTGGGACAAGTAAACACTAAATCGCCATATAATGCACTCAACACTGCCTTCAGTTTCGATGAGTTTGTTGTGTCAACTCCTTTGAGGTAATGATCAAACACTTTGTCCACATCTATGTTATGGTATTCATCACTCAATTTGACTACAATTTCCCGCAACTGGTGTTCAGTCATTTCGGTTTGCATTTCCGGGTATAACATAATGGCTATATTTAAGCCCTCGTCTTTGGCCACACCGGTCATTAGCTCTACATCTAATAAAAATATACATAAGTAATTATTATAATAACTCTATAACGTTAAGCAATAAAAATAAAAATTATTACCACTATTAAATAACCCTGTTGAAAATGCTTTTTGAGGCATAACTGGCAAAAATTCTGTGCCAAACACGGCGTGTGTCATAACAAGGAAACCATACTCTGGTTTCTCAATTAACAGGTTCGGATCCTCTATTGCTCGCAAACAATCCAACCATTTGTAGTCAAATTCATCGCAATTTAATTTGTTTGCCAATTGTTTGGCCCTTTGAAGGCCCTCAACAGTGCTGAGCGCCGGACGATCTTTGTTATACATAACGGAC